GGAGAGCCGAACTGAAGATGAGGAAGGAGAGACGGCGAGAAACCAACTCTTCCAAAAGAGATTTGGCCGTAAACAGAGGGAACCAAGCAGAGGAAAAGACAGGATCAAGGAATGGGCTTTTTTTTTAACATGAGAAAGTCTGGATAGTTTGTGAGGGAACAGTGCCAATGGACAGAGAGGCTGAAGACGCCGGAGAGACGGTTGGGGATGCAAGGCCTCGGTGGGGGCAGGGCAGGGGAAACCTAGAGTGGAGAATCCACCTTGAGAAGAGGGACTGTCCCCGCTGGATCAGGAGCCTCAGCGTCTATGGCAGACACGTGCGTCTGGTGGGCGGGGAGGCAGGGGCCATGCAGCACTGTCTCCTCTTCCTGTAGGGCGGACCGCTAGTCTACCTTTCCCAGTCTTCCTTGCAGCTGGCTGGGGCCCCGCATCTGAGTTCTGGCTGGTGGCACGCAGACCACAGTGATCCCCCCGGCCCTTGAAGCCCTCCTGCGGGAGCCTTTGTCTAGGCCAGCCTCACCTCACAGTGCCCCTGCAGAGCCGGCAGGGGTCCCCGAGGCTAAGTCATGGTGAGAAGGACAACAGGCCCCCAAAGGACTTGCGCGGGATGTTTACAGCAGCCTCAGACACAATGGCCAAATCCTGAAATAACCCAATGTCCACAAACTAGAGAAACTGTTGTACATTCATACAGCGGAATACTACTCGGCCATAAAAAGAGTCAACTATAGATACGTGCAACGTGGATGAATCTTAAAAACATACCGAGCAAAGCACGACAGACAGAAAACCAGGAGCTGTGTGACTCCATTTATATCAAGCCCAAGAAGAGGTAAAACGAGTCTACAGTGACAGAAAGCAGATCCGTGGTGGGGATGGTTGGAAAGGGCTAAAGAACCTTCCGGGCGTCTATCCTTGTTTTAAATGTTGGTTACTTGTGCGTATACAATTGTTAAAATTCATCACACCTAACAATTAAGATCTGTGTGTTTTATTATAGTATATAAGTTAATATCTTAATTTTTATAAAGTTTGAGACAAGTACTTTCATATTCTGCTGGTTAACATTAGATTGAAACCAGCCAGAAATTTCTTACACACTTTCAAGTATCTATCCTAAAAAGGTAGAGACAAAGGTTGATGTGTATAGATACTTTCCCACTATTTTCCATAGCAAATAACTATAAAAATGTTGTTCAACGATATCGTTTAATAGTCACATAAAATATTATAAAGCCATTAAAAATCACATGTCGAAGAATTTTTAATGACATGGGAAAATGCTCACAATTACATTTTTTAAAAATTAAAACAGGTTACCAAACTTTTTAACAGTATGACATGCAAGAAAGAAAATTAAAAGTACACACATACAACTTAAATTTCATTACAATAAAGTGGCTTTGAAGAATAGTTTAACTTCTCTTAACTTCCAATAGCAATAACTAACACCCTGGGATGTCGGGAAGATAAACAAAGACATAAAAGCACTATGAAAATACTGAAGAATGACACACATGTTAACTTATTTTAAACCAGCCACCATATTCTCATATTTAGGGGTTTAACTTCCACTTCCCAATTAAGTACATTATACCTAATATCACAGGGACATAAACCTGAAACAAACATAAACGCCATCATCCTCTCTTCGATTAGATGCAACAGCATTCTCTCCATCTTCGTGGATAGCCCGAAATGCAGGGTGCACTGTTTAAGGAAAATCTTTAGAGAAAGGCCAGGTTCAAATCCTGACTAATGTGATTTTAGACAATGTAATGAACCTCAGGTCTTCATCAGTAATTAGTGCTCAATAAATGGCTGTTTCTCTACTATTACAGGTACTCTGCTCCTGCAGTTATTCACCTGAAGATAATACTAGCTACCACTCATTAAACACTATCACATACTAGACTCTATTAAATATTTTACAAATGGGCAAGACCTTAATCACTCTGCAAACAGGTACTAATATCTCCACCATACAGCCCAGCTCGTGGGACTAAATGAGTTAAGCAAAGAAAAAAATTTCATTTCATGTAAAATTTTAAAAGTGAGAAGTGAAGATTTGGAAAGCAGACTTGAAATGATTACATTAACAAATGTCTGCAGCGATGCACTCCCTCCCCGAAGGCAGGCGTCATTTCCACCGCGCCCATGTAAACTATCACTGTTTTCCGCATCATCTCAAGCACAGGCCAGAGGCAAGAACACATCCAAATGGTAATTACATTGAAAGTTTTCTGGCTGTGGTATTTTAAGGACTTTTATGTCTAAACAATGAAACGGAAAAACAAAAATGTCAAATACACGAAGAGCAAACTAGACTTCCAGATGATGGTAAGTTCATTTACTGAGGGCAGGTCCACGCAAGCCCGGCTCATTCTGAGAGGCCACCTCTGGTGACTCCGTAATTACTCTGACTTAAGATGTGTGGAGCGCTGGATGAATCAGAACCCACCTTTCATCAATGCGTAAACGTCATTCCCATCTCTTTTGTTTTTTGTAGAGAAAAAAAAACTTGCCTTGTAACCTTGAAATGTCAAGGAGCTGTTTTGGTTAACACTTTTAACTTCTCACCTCCACGGCCCTCTACAAGTAAGACAGCAACTGTCACCCTTCCTGTTTTCAGCAAAGGCACGAAACCCCCATGTCACCAGATGTCCACCTCGGCCGCTGTCCCACTCAGAGTAGCACCTGCGTCTAATTCACTTTCGTCAGCAAAGTTCCACCGCACTGGGGTCGGCGAGCGTTCGTTCCTGAACGCCACGCGGGCACCCTGCCCCGCACCGGACACCCTCGAGGGAGGTCGCGCGCTCCTCACGCAGGCGTCCGTTCGTTTAACCCTCTCGACCCTGGGGTGGACGCTGCTGTCACCCATTTCACCGCCCAGGACACTGAGGCCTGGGGGAAACCTGCCCGGGGGGCCGCGGCCAGTAAGAGGCTGAGCAGGGGGCTGGCTCCCAGGCCACCGACGCTGGAGCGCCGTGTCACCTGGCGGTGACACCGTCGAGAGAACAGCCTGGTCCTGGGAGGGGGCCTGCAAAGCGAGGACCCTGTGCGCCCCTGAGCACTGACCCGTGAGCGCTGGCCCGTTCGGAGTCCCATCCGCCCCGACACGGCCTCGGCGTCGCTGCGGGCGTCCTCGTGGCGTCCCCGGAAGGGCCGGGACCCCGGCGGTGCCGGCCCACGAACAGGAAGTCCCCGTCCCCCGCCGCGGGTGGGCTCTGAACGTGAGCGCTGCCCACGCCCGGCACGCTCGGGC